CCCCAAAACCCCAAAACCCCTCAAATAAAAATTAGGTCTATCTAGATGGTCAGAGTTAAATTAAATAAATTAGTTATAATATTATCTTAAGATAATAAAATTTTCACAATCTCACAGTTTCTTATACTTCCTTAATAAAACCCTTACAGCAAAGATGAGTTAAAATTAATTCTAAGACGAGAGTTTGCAGAGTAGAACTTTTGATTATCACGTTCAAAGTTAATAAAATCATAACAATTTAATATTGCAGCAGAATAGTACTAACAACTTCGGATAGAACAATTTTCGAAGTTTGTCAAAACATTAACTATAACTGAGGACAAATATTGCAAATCAAGTCACTGTCAATGGGGATAGAATGGTTCCCTTTAGAGGTGCCTCAAATAGATTTTAACAAAATTATGAAGCATCAGTCAATTACCAAGAATCAATGGATTAAATGAACATTCCTCTTCACAATGGTCAGAATTAAGACCCAAACTCAAATTAGTAGCCAAATATTCATCAGATGATCTTGTATCAGAACACTCACCAAGTAGTGACCAGAAAGATATCAGATGACTTCAATCATGCGAAATGGTCTCCAGAAGACGAGGAGATTTCCCAACTCAAAGATTGTGAGCTAGCAGAGGAACTAGCTGATAAATTGAAGTTTCAGACAGTATCAAAGAAATCCAATCTGAAGAACCCCTTGATTCTTTAATTTACTGATAACAAGACACCTCCGATGATGGTAACTTTCCTTGAAGATCTCCAAGATATAAATTCAATCAGATACAGGTAGGTCTAGAAACTTTAGCTTAAACAAGAGCTGATGAAGAAATTTAACTACATTCCTTACGAGAGATATGCAGCTCTCTCTGCTCAAACTATTTCAGAGTACTCCCACCAGATATTTCATTGGGGAGCGAACGGAGTATGTGCTATTGGTCTTGAGCAGATAGTTTATCTCGTGAAACCTACTGATCCAGAAATGCCAGTCAAACAAATAATCTGTTGTAATCCACCCAATGTGGTCAAGAGTGTAAGATGGATGAATCCTCAGGGAGATCCAGACTCTCCAGAGTATTGTTGTGTCCTAGCCATAGCTACGGACGAAAGTAAAGGTTTCATTCAAATCTGGGAAACCAGACAATTACAACTGCTAAGAACCATAAACTCAACTTAGAGCAACTTCACCTCCCTCTCCTGGAATCATTAACTTCTGGCTTCTGTTTCAATGGAAAGTTAGCTCGTGATAAACTATGTTAACTTAAGAAATTCTGAGGTAGCTAAGTTGAATATTCCTAGCATGGGTATTATCAATCATTGCAGTTTCTCTTAAGATGGACTATATCTCTCTATTTGCGGGAGATTTGTGCAGATTTATCGAGTCTGTTTCAGTACAGATCCTTGCGACTTTGACAATAGTATAACATTAAATAAGATATTTCAGTTTGACTAAAACATTAGAGAGTCTAATATTCTGCAAGTGTCCTGGTCTTCTAGGACTCCATAACTATTCTCTTTTGCCATTCAAAAGAACAAATATTACTCAAGCCAGAGACAATATCAAGAATAAACTGGACAAGATTAGTATCATGAGGTAATATAATTTGAAGTAACTTAGAATATTTGTAGATCCTGTTTTACAATATAGAATCTGGCCAGTAAATCACAAGTCTGAACATTGAGAGCAGACCAACTACCCTGTAATTTAGTATGAATCACTATGGGACAAATGCACAATCCTAAATGCTATTTGCAGGCTTGGAAAATGGTAAAGTAGCCATTATAAGAATAAAGGGGGCACAAGCCATGGTGACCTCCGTTGTCAACTACCTTGAATTCCACGAGTCAAGTATACTTCATCTACAAGAATCTCCAGATGGCTGCTATCTAGGATCGATAGCATCAGATTAGATATTTTTCTTATGGAAACATATGCCTCTAAATCCGGTTTCTTCAACTGGATCAAAATCGATCATGGATTCTTTGTGTACACCTCGACATCATAGTAAAAATAATTACCCTAGTTATAATGGAAAAAGATAGCATGTTACAAATTAGTAAGAAAACTCTGTTGGTTAAGGTTATAATTAGAGAAAACCTAGAGATCATTCAATGGAAGACGCTGAAATGATCTCTTTTAGTATGAAAATGGATTTGCCAATGTTAAGATGATATTTATAAAATTGATAACCTGTTTGCTATAGCTTTTGATCATTAGAATAAAAATATAGAACTTAGAATATATTTGATTAATTCCTTTGATTTATTACTGAATTTATTAACTCATTTCTACAGTATTACTATTAAATTGAAATGATGGGGTTTTGGGGTTTTGGGG